GCACCGATGACAAGACAACACACTGCACATAAGTCAATTAATGATCCAATCTGACCACACATTGATCGAGGAGCTTATGTCGCATACGCGTGGAGCAGAACAGACATGAACTTTGCTTTTCTCATGCACTGATGATAAGACAACACACTACACATGAGTCAGTCAATGACCTAGTCTGACCACACACTGATCGAGGAGCTTACGTAGCATACACGTGGAGCATAACATACATGAACTTTGCTTTTCTCATGCACCAATAACAAGATAACACACTACACATGAGTCAGTCAAGGAGTCAATCTGACCACACACTAATCGAGAAGCTTACGTCTCATAGTCGTGGAGTAGGATTGACATGAACTTTGCTTTTCTCATGCACTGATGATAAGACAACACACTGCATATGAGTCAGTCAATGACCTAGTTTGACCACACACTGATCAAGGAGCTTACATCACATACGCGTGGAGCAGAATGGACATTAACTTTGCTTTTCTCATGCACCGATGATAAGACAACACATTACACATGAGTTAATCAATGATCCAGTCTGACCACACACTGATCGAGGAGCTTAGGTCTCATAGTTGTGGAGCAGAATGAATATGAACTTTGTTTTTCTCATGCAGCAATGACAAGACAATACACTGTACATGAGTCATTCAAGAACCCAGTCTAACCACATGTTGACCGAGAAGATTACGTGACACCCACGTGACAACGAGCTCGTTGCCTATAAATTGTATGAAGCATTTAACATTTCTCACTAACAAGTATATTGAGAAACTGAAGAGAGTTTCAATTTCGACAAAGTTTCATCCAACAAAATGATATTCATTGAAGAACTGAGTGTTTACAATTCATTAAGTGTTAGTGTTAGTTGTGAGGGAGATTATAGTGTGTGCATTATCCCTTTCAAAGGAATTTCACTTTTTCATTTGAAGAAATGGATCCAATATGAGGCAAGTTTTGCAGACTAGAGGCCAATCACTAGGATGTTCTACTTGAAACTTTAGTTACATGATGTTTGTGTTCAAGAGTAAATGGAGCTAACAACGAACCTACATGTTGAAAAGATGATACATTGACATATGCAATTTCCTCAACATGTGACTTTAGAATTGGTCGTCAAAATGATGAAACTTGAGCCACCCAACTTTGAGATTTCCATAAAATAAAGTGATAAAGGAATACAAAATCCTCTTCACCTTCTACAAGATCAAGTGTTTTTAAGTTTGTTGTAAAATGTTAAAACTTTGAAGTAATTCCTGTGGTTGGTTTATGTATCTTTTTTTTATGACTTATGTTTGTTATGTTGTCTAATTTTTAGTATAATTTGCGTTATGTATCTTTTTTTAAATTAATTATTCCACTCTAGTTTTTATTTGATTTTTTGTTTCTTTTAATTTATATATGTATTTACTATATTTATAAAAATATATTAAACATATAATTATATAAATATATTTTTATGATATAATTATATAAATAAATGTTTAAACTATATATATATATATTATATTTATTTACTAAAAATATTTTTTATTAAATAAATACTTAAATATTATATTAATATATATATTATATTTAATAAAGTTATAATGTATATAACAAAATATAAATATGTATTTACCATATTTATAAAAGTATTTATAAATTTTATTTTTACTTACTAAAATTATTTTATATTAAAAATATATTTAAATAATATATATAGTTTATTTATGTAAAAAGGTAAAAAGATATAAATATATTTATTAAATTTTATTATATTTATAAAAATATAAATATATTTAAATATTATATATATATATATATATATTTGTATTTACTATATTTATAAAAATATATCAATAATATAATTATATAAATATATTTTTATGTTATATAAAAAAATATATTTATATTTATTTCATATAATTATATAAACAAAATTTAAAAAAAATATTTATATTTAATTTTTATATTTAATAAATATTATTATATTTTAAAATTTTTATTTATTTTTAAGGTCAAAATTCGGCATTCCAAGAGTTGAATTTTGACCATACAGTAAAATGTATATTATATACATAAATTTTTCATATAGTATGTTATTAAGATATTTTTTCTTTAGTTTTGTGCTTGATTGGAAAAAAAAATTCATTGGGTTACGAGTCTTTTTTCCTTATATATTATTCAACAATCTCTCATTCAAGTATTGCACATTGGTACATCTCCTTTAATACACTAATAATTTTTCCTTATCGTCGTTCAGCATAACGGGACACGCTTATCTGACTCAATGTCAGAAAAAATTTTGATACAAAGATCACTCTTAAATTGTTGATCAACCTTTGGATTTGATACCACTATTAGATATTTTGACAAGAGATTTAATAAGGAAAGACAACACCAATGAGATATAAGTTCAACCAATATAAGAGATTGACATCACTCTTAATCTAAAACCTTAAGAAATATGACTTATAATCTAATACCTTAGGGTTTTTTTATTAAAAGTGAAAACCTAATAATAATTACTTACTATTGCAAAAAAATTCATCCTAGCCATTTTAGGTTTGTAATGTTAAACTTAATTTCCTTATTTTGATGAAATTGAGATGTTTTACTGGAGACCATATATTTTCTTATTAACAATAATCCTTCTTTCCTGTCATGGATAAATTTAACATATATATTAGAGTTAGAATTTGATAATTCCTCGTATAATTATCTATTTTCAATTTGTTCAAATTAACACAAGTTAGTAGTGTACACGAATATTGTATTCAATTTATTCAAGTATTAAAATTAGGGTGATTTTTCATAGTAAAAAACTACAACAACAAATAGTTCTATGGAAAGGAATATATACATGTCACAAACAATTAATAAAAAGATGATGAAACTTAACGATAACTTTTTCCCAACTTCAAACTTGAAGACAAGATTGATTTTAAATAGAAAGAATTGTCATGAATAAAAAATTAACAAAAAAATAAAAAAAATACAAAAATAAATAATAATAATCCAAATAATATAAATGCATAATTTATTTTATAATTAACTTATTTTTGCATGTTACATGTAAGTTTCTAAAATTTAGAATATTATATGAAAAAATATAAAATATAAAATATTTCAAACACTTTTATATTATCTATGGGAAAGTCGTAAGTGTAGGTTTTTGAGTTTAAACTTAATGTCAAAACTTTTGAAAATCGGAAAATATATGTATCAGTGAAATAATAAATGTATATAAATATATTATGGATATAGTGTGATGATTTTAATTAAAAAAATTAATTATCATTCAAATTAAGTTGTTAATTTATATTGTTTATTGTTAGTTGTCTTGTTAAAGTATAATAGACAAAGAAAAATAATTTATGGAGGGATAATTATATAAATTTGCATGTATCTTAAGCTACGTCAGAATTTGTATATTTTATAACTAGGAGTGTGATAATTTTTTCTGGCAACCCACCCAACTTAACATCCCTCCCACATTATGTTTATGTGATTAATTTAGTTGGTCTAATAAAACTTCAACTCTACCTTTGAAATTCGTAGGTGAAAAAATATATATATAAAATATTGTTTTTATAATATGATTGAAGATTTTTATTATTTATTTTCACACACATTTCAATATCTAACGTTAAAGTCAAACACACTTTCTTTAATTTGAAATAAATCAACTTTAAGTATATCAAACATAACTTTTATGATTTTTAGTGAAATTATATGATAATTCTTATCTAAATCTGAATGGATGTTCACATTTCTAACTTAATATAATTTCCAACTTATTTAATTTGTTTATAAAATTGTTTTTTTTTTCAAAGTAAATGTTTAATATTGATGTAAAATTTATTCTGTTTATAATATACAGAATGAGTAAGTTCTGCGTAAGCACTTTTATTTTTATGCGTTTATTTTCTTATAAATAAATTAAATAAAAAATATTTTCTTGAAATGTCTTAAAAGTTAAGTACGTTAATCTTTTATAAAAAAAAAAAAAAAGGAAAACTTTAAAGAAAAACAAAAGTTAACAAGGCTTCAAAAAAAAAAAAAAGACCCGTTTTCCTTGCTTTTGAGTATCGTCCGCTCCTCCCTCTTTCTCTTATTATCTATTTAAAGCTTGAAAAATAAAATATAACTCTTCATAAACTTTTTATTTTTATTTTTATTTTATACTTTAACTTTAAAGCCACTTAAAAAAAAGGCCAAACATACTTACATTATAATATATTAAAAGTTAATAATAATTTTAATGAATAAAATAATAAAAGATCAATAATTTAAAATGTGATTATAATAATCTCAATATGCCAAACAAAAATAAAAAATATATTTAGATTTAAGTGCGGAAACATATGAATTAACCTTGTGACATTGTCTTTGTCGTGTTCGTTTTGTGACACGATAATATTATATAATAAAGAAAAAAAAATAAATTAAATAGTTAGAGAAGAAAGGCATCTTTTTTATACAGTTTCAAAAAGTGACAAATTTAGATCAATAATTTTGGACTAAAATAATTGATGTGATGAGTCCAAAGAGAGAGAGAATAGATGGAAGGGTGAGAAAATTGAAAATGTGATAATTTATAAAACATCTTTTAGATTATTTTATTTAATAAATTACTTTACTTTTTTCTTCTATTTATTAATATTTAATTATTTATAAAAAATTAAGTGCGCTAAAAAATATATAATATTTTGTTTGAACTATAAAAATAAAAAAAATATCATTAAATATAACAAAATTTCAAATGGCCAAATATATATATATATATATATATATATATATATATGGATGTATGTATATGTATATGTATATTCTTTGATATCACCTTACATCTATCCACACTATTTTAACAAACACTTTGATTTCATATTTAAAACAAGTTACGTGATATTTAAACATATAAACATAGTGACACGTACCAAAAATATTAGTGATAAAGAAAAAACATTTATTATCATTTTTGCATAGAGCGATGAAAGTGAAGTTCACCTTTCTGCAATTGTAACATCAAAATCATACAACGATCCTCTCCCACTGGCAAATTTCTTCATTGTATTCAACGATGGAGCTTCCACTGTCTTCTCTTCCAACACCTTATGCTTTCCCCCCTCATCACTACTTCCCTTGCGAATCCAAAGCACAATCTTCTTCCATTCACCAACAGAGTCAAGGTTTCTTGCTGGATCTTTCTGGGCCTGGGCCTTTTTCTGCTTCCGGGCCTTCTTGTTCTTCTTGCCCTGAACTTGGCCCATGCACGACACTTTGGGAGAAGTGGGCTCTCTCGCGCTAAAGCTCTCGTCTTTGCGCTTCCTTCGCGCTTCCCTGGGAATTATCGAAACCACTCGTGCAGGTGATCGACAAGGACTCGGAGTTGGGTTCTGAAACGCTACTACTAAAGTCGCAGGTTGTTTTGTCAGAAACTTCAGGAAATTGGTTTTCATTTGAAACAGTTTCTCCATGTTGATAGGATATGCCACACAATATATGAAATCAAGCAGTGTAACTATGATATAGAGAGGATCATGAGAAGGGTGATTCATGGTTATAAATCATCTAATCAGAACAAACAAAAATAGGGGGCAATTAACAAAATATTATGGTTGACATTGATATGTGACGTTGTGTGGCGTGCTCTTGTAAGTAGAGCTAGGTGTGGAAGAAAAGCTATGTTGCAAAACGCAAATGTTGCCGGCACATTATAAAATTATGTGAAGCTTGGATTTGGTCGTGGTTTCATAGATTGGTGCGTATGTTGACACTGACGTTAGAGTATAATTTTTGTTGTTGCTTCTTTTCTTGCTTTTTTGTCCTTTGAGAAGTCTGTATGGTTCAGTTCTGATGTAAGAATGTCATGCGTTGGAGTAAGCTAAGAACTTATTTTAGTTATTGAGGAATGTCAAGGTATCAATCACTGATCCTCCAACTGAAAGTTATAGTATTTTACATATGGTCACTTATTTCAATATTATGGGGATTTTTTAATTTGTCAGTATAAAACAAGTTCCAAAGATAGAGAGCGCGGTAGTCCTAAAATCTCTTCATAGGGTACTGTAGCTGAACAGCCATAGTACCATAGGGGTGTGGTGAGAGTTTATCAGAGCCCACGTAGACATTTTGAACATTTAATTGGAACGGAGGCCACTCTCGATTCGCAGCAATAGGGTATAAAGAGCAGGAGCTGAACAGGATTTTAAATATATAAATCAAGTTTCGAAGGGTCCTTTGTTCTTGATCGCAGGTTCATAATTCGCACTCTTATCTCACCGTCTGATAGTGATTTCCACTTTTTGGTCACTTTAATAAGAATTCTAAAGAAATGCTATTATTGAAGGACGATAAAAGAAAACGAAACATGGTTGAAAAAGAAAATTGTAATAGGAAGAATATGACTAGCGTGTAAGTTACCTTTTATTTATTTATTTATTTTCTTTTAACCGCTTGTGAATAAAGTAGCTTCCTGCTGCAGAATCAATATATTCTGCAACGCTTTTGAATGATAAATAACCCCGTTCTATACAACCATGTACATATATTTATACTTTTAATTACAAGTCAAAAAATTGATATAATCTATTCTATATTTCAATGAAAAGTCATGAATATTTTACAAATCATATAATGTTTAATTTTGGTAACTAACTACATGATTGATGGTGCCATTGTGCTCATTTGCTCCTAATCCAAACTCCAATGAAAAAACCTAAAAATAAGCACATCATATTTACAGAACAAAATACATGATAAACCAACACGTATCATTATTTTAATAGTAGGGTCCGAATATCGTTTGTTCAATATCCGTTCCAATATACCACAAGCTTTTTACAAATAAATATTTTACACTGATCTATATCATCCACAACTTCTCGTGCACGTGTTGGATAAATGTATTTAAGAAAATGAACAATCGCAGTTCACAACCCATCCTCAGAATGTTCAAACTATTAAAGCATAATTTGAAATCATAGTTCCACACTTCGATGCACTGGTCCCAAGTCATTGTCAACAGCTACTCATGATAGACTATTAATACAATGATACAATGCAAACTAATAAACCTCAAACAGTTCAATGTCTGACCCATGCAGAACTTAAGTCCTCGGTCCAGCTTCAAGTTATCCTGATCATTTTACCGGACATAGGTACTTTTTCAATATGGCTAACATTCAAACTTGGAATTTTTTTCACATGAACGATACATCAAGGAAAATGCCAAATGCATACTTGTTTACAACATCCCTAACTGGCTATATAGTCTCAAATCTAAATCAGCTTTCCCCCCTCTCCCAAATTAACCACAAATGTTCAATCAAGTTTGGGGTTTTCTAGAAATCTGATAATTTAAACCCTTTCTTCACCCTCCCAATTAGTGGATATCAATTGCAAATTCCTAAGTACCTTTTTGCCAAATTCAGTTTTCACAATTTTTGAACCAAAAGGGAGAAAAATATAGAATCAAGAATTCCTGAACTATTTATATCGTAGGTTCTCCATCCAATAAGATAAAAAATTTAAGCCATATATCTCTGCTCTTCAGCAAAGCTGTTAGTTTACCTCAGCGAGTGCCTCTATCATCCTTGTCACTAGTTTGTGGAGTGTACTGGCTGGTTGACGATGGTGAGTAACCAGGTTGACTTGGTGAGTAACCCGTACTGGGACTGCAAATGATCAAACGGAAAAATAAAAGCAGAACGTGCTCAGAAATATGCCTTCAATACATTAATTAAAGAATTATCTGTGTAAATATCATATGCATACCTAAATTGGGGTGAACTTGGGCTATAGTCTGGGCTCACACCAGAATTATATGGGCTGGAAAAAGAATGAATGAACAAGTCACATAAATAAGCCTCTATAGACACAAAATTTCCAATGTGCTACTGTTCTGATCACGGACAACAAGAGATAATAAATTGTTTAAATGCTTGACAGGACAATATTCTTAGTTAACTTACCTGCTGGGACTGTATGTTGGGCTTGACGGAGAATAAGATGGAGATGGAGATGTCGGTGAATATGATGGAGATGTCGGGCTGAAAAATGATGAATTAGACATGCTTAGATTCGACCTCAGACCCATGTTTTTTATTGGAAAATGAAGGCAACTAGTGTTTGAACTCCAAAGGCTCTGTATATCACATTCAATACCAGAAACAAATATTAAAGAATCCAGAGAATTACTCACCTGTAGTTTGGGGATGTGGGACTATATGGACTTGATGGAGACAATCTCGGACTGCTTGGAGAATATGCTAACGAAGGACTATACTTTGCTGATTGTGGATTGTAACTAGGGGAAGCAGGGCTATACGATGGGGATGTTGGGCTATATGAGGGTGATGTAGGGCTGTAACCAGGTGACGTGGGGCTGTAAGCAGGGGATGTAGGGCTATATGATGGGGATGTGGGGCTGTAAGAGGGTGATGTGGGGCTGTAGGAAGGTGAAGTGGGACTATATGTAGGGCTGTAGGAAGGTGAAGTTGGACTATAAGCAGGTGAAGTGGGACTATAAGCAAGTGAAGTGGGACTATATGCAGGTGAAGTGGGGCTGTAGCTGGGAGAAGTGGGGCTATAACTGGGTGATGTAGGGCTGTAGCTGGGTGATGTAGGACTGTAGCTGGGTGATGTGGGGCTATAGCTGGGTGATGTGGGAGAGTAGGATGGACTGGTAGGCGAATAAGCTGGACTTGTAGGACTATATCCAGGAGAACTAGGGCTATAAGTCGGAGAGGTCGGACTGTAACCTGGTGATGTGGGACTGTAGCCCGGAGATGTGGGACTGTACCCAGGTGAGGTGGGACTGTACCCAGGCGATGATGGACTATAGCCTGGGGATGATGGACTGTACCCAGGAGATGAAGTGGGAGAAAATGCCATCCCACCAACATAAGGTGAAAACTGGGCATCCGACGTAGGAGACAGACGTAAATTTGGACTTAACAAATAACTGGGAGACATCAAGCCTTCATGATATGGAGTTCCAGATATTGGGGAGCGAGCAGGAGTCATGCCAAATTCAAGACCATCCATATAACTAGGCAGTTGGAGTTCAATGGCATTCTTCAGCATCTCATCATTAAGATACAAGGCACATTCACCTGTGCCGATGGGGGCAAGCTGACCTAACATGATGTTTTCAGTGACACCCCTCAAGTAATCAGTCTCAGCATATACTGCAGCATCAAGCAGAATATCAACTGTTTCTTCAAATGAGCATCTCATCATTGGCCCGGTATCATTCCTGTTGATTCCGTGTCGTGTAATGGCCATCAAATGCCCCCTATAAGTCATGGTATCACAAAGAATAGCTAAATGCCTATAATTAACATAAGAACCATCAAAAGAAATGACAACACGCAATTCATCCAAAAGAGCTCGCCGAACTGCCTCAATGCCAAGAACTTCAATAACTTCAATCAAGTGGTTGCTTGTGGTTCTGGTTGCATCAACATCTTCATGGCACATCACAGCTAGAAGGTTGACACCTTCCGTATCAAGCATCCATTCTTCATTAGGCTTAAAACCTTCATTCTCATCGAACTTTTGAGTTTTAGTATTTTTAATAAAAACCTTGTTGATGTCTGGGATACCCCGTAAGGTCATTTCAGTCAGCATGTTGCTTTCAATTTTCTTTAAGAAAACATCATCTTCAGCAGATTCATCCTGAATCTCACCCTTGGGTGCTTCATCATTCATAATACGGATCCGAAGTATAAGTTTTTCAGCATTGTCATCATTAAATATACAAGTCAAATCATCATCAAATTCAAGGTTAATCTTCTCTGCAATGTCAGCCATACTCAACTTTTTATCCACCATCATTTCACGATTCAGCTCTATGCGAAGCAACCAAGGTGATATTTTTTCAAGGGCAACTTCTTCATCCGGCATTTCATAGTAGGACTTAACAAAATCAACATCCTCTTCAATTATGGTACTCATAGGATCCGGATCATACCACACCTCTGTAGCTTGAGTCACACTCCTTAGAGTGGTATATTCTAAAGCACACTGCACACTCTTGGCTCTCTCCTTAGTCTTACCAACATCAGGATTCAAGAACACAGACAGAGAAGGTGTTTTAATTCTCTTTGCCACATTAATGATTTCCCTTAACCTAGGAACACCAAGAGTAACATTCTTTGCACTGACACCAGCATAATGGAAAGTGTTGAGAGTCATCTGAGTCGCAGGTTCACCAATTGATTGGGCAGCCACACAACCAATCATTTCTCCAGAGGCTACGAGTGACTGCAAAAACCTTGATTCTATTTCTCCCACTACCCACTCAAATGCCTCACGAGAAAGCCTGTATTCCTCCAAGACCCTTTTACTAGCAAAAGTGCTGCGGAGAAGAATATTGAACAGGAGAGTAGCATTCTTCTGAGCTTCTTGACTCAAAAGATCTTCACCAGGAACAACCTTAAGCCGCTCCTGGAGTTTATCAATGGCTTCCACAATTTCCATTGGATGCATATCAGAAGGCCTTCGGAAGTCAACCTTAAATGTCTTCTGAGCATTCCAGATAAGCCTCTTCAGGTTAACAGGCAGTGGCAGGGAACTGTCACCAGTAGTGGCAATCTCAGTTGCAAGTTGATATCTATCAGCTTCAAGTTTCTGAACCTCTGCCTCGAACACATTGCGAAACTCTCTGATGGTTTTTAAGTCTTCTACAGGCTCTTCAAGCATGTAAGTAGGCTTCCAGTTTTCATCATCAAATTCATACCTAAACACCCTATCAAATTCTGTTTTTTTCATTTTAAGGGAATCCAGCTTCTGTGTTTCAATCCAAACTGCGTCCATACCATCTTCTCCATAAAGAAACTGTATGACATCTCCCAAAGAGTTTCTAACTGTCCCATCATATTTAACCATGATGTCCTCCATAGCCTTCACCAGTCGCCTCTGAATGTACCCAGTTTCAGAGGTCTTCACGGCCGTATCAATAAGACCTTCCCTACCACCCATGGCATGGAAAAAGAACTCTTGAGGGGTCAGTCCCCGTAGATATGAGTTTTCCACAAAGCCACGACTTTCAGGCCCATAATCATCTTTTGTGAAGTGAGGCAATGTCCTGTCTATGAATCCATATGGAATTCGCTTACCCTCAACATTCTGTTGGCCCACACAAGCAGTCATTTGAGATATGTTGATAAAACTTCCCTTGGAACCAGCTGTCACCATTGCTTTCAGATTGTTGCTCTCAGATAAACTTTTTTGAGCACTATTTCCAGCATCATCACGAGCTCTATTTAGAGTCTGAAATTATCAATTAAGAAAGTTTATCATATTTACACAAAATAAATTTTAATATTATAACAATGTCAAAACAATCAAAACGAAGTACCTGGTTCACTCTGTTTTCAAATGAATCCATCATTGTCCGACCAGGTTCAGCCTCCAACTTTTTCTCTTGAGCATCCCTGATAAGTTGTTTCACTTTCTCCTTAGCTGCTGAAATAGTCTGATTTATGGTTTCCATAGTAGAAGCATCAGCAATTGTATCACCAATTCCAATGCTAAAAGCATTCTGCAAAAGCCAGTAATTTACAAGCCACTGAGTATGACCAAGAAATTTCCGAGCTGCATCAGGGCCAACCTCTTCCCTGTATTCAAGTAGACATTCAGTGATGTAATGAACATTGAAGAAAGGAACTGATTGAAGCAGTTTCCAAAGCAACAAAGTTTCACTACTATTATCAGACAGCACTCCATAACATTATATTTATAAATTAGATAACAAAGTCACTTAAGAGTTAGATTTAGATAAATAGAAAACTTCTCCTCAGGCAGTAAAGGTAGTTGACTATTACATAATCCAATTTATTTAGCAGTATTAATTTCATGCAGAAATACTATATACTGAAGCTGAAGAAAAAGCTAGGTGCAACTGTTAGAGTTGCTGCCATCTGACTAGGATGTTAAATGTTCTAATTCTAGAATCAGCCTCTTGCAAATGCAAGGTAAGGCTACCTACAATATACACATAATGGATCAAACCCTTCCCTAGGCCTCTTCATCATAATTATAGCACCAAGTAGTCCATTATAAGCTGCATACCAAATCACGTGAATGAGACTTCCCGTAGATGTTCCAAGAGTCTTTTTGCAAAGTGTTCCAGTAAGTAGTTCCCCTTTTTCAATTCTGACCATGGTATCCCCAGGGGTTATGGATCCCCTTTCATTTTCACTGTGCCAACTAGAATATCTAATTAGATTTATGGGTTTAGGAATGATGAGATTGAAGACTTGTTTCCCTGTCCACAATGGTTCTGGCTTCAATATTGTAGGAGTAGGAACTTTCCCATCAAAATCTTCCCACCACATCAATATGTTCATGAAAACATCCTGGTTAAAGAAAATGGAAAACTTTGATCAGATTATTTATAAAGCCTGTACAACTATGGGGCTGAACTAAACTGCAACAGTAGAAGAATTCACTTAATATAACCTTTGAAATGAAAGTGTCTCTCTTGGTGATTTTTCTGCATCCCAAAAGTGTGTCTTGGACAATTCCCATCACTGGCCTGTTTGACTGTGGTGACACAATGCATTTAGGCACCATCATCAGCTCCAACACCTCAGCTCTAGTTTCAAAAGACTGAGGAACATGCATATTCATCTCATCCCCATCAAAATCAGCATTATATGGTGAAGTAACAGACAAGTTAAGCCGGAAAGTAGAGTATGGCATGATTTTAATTCTATGCCCCATGATGGACATTTTATGAAGACTAGGCTGCCGATTGAAGAGAACAAAGTCTCCATCATTCAAATGACGCTCAACCTAAAACCAGAAAATTAAGAACTATTATACGGAACTAAGAGGAAACCAAAACAAACAATATTATCATTGTTTGAAGCCGTACCTTGTAGCCAAGCTCCAAATGGTGATCACTACTTTTCTTTAAATATCTGAGATCAAGTCTTTGTCCATCATCACGAATGATATACTTAGCACCAGTTTTTCCAGGTGGAGGGTGTGGTCCGTACTCAACAAGTTCCTTCAACCTGATTGTTTTTATTTCAAATATTTTCCGTTATAAATGGAAGAGAATGCACCAATTGCAACAGGAAATGCATAATGAAATGCAACCTTTCAATGTTGTACGGAGTCACAGTCTCAGGGTATGTTAGATTCAAAGCGATACTCCATGGTACTCCCAATTGATCAATGTTGATTGTTGGATCAGGTGTAATGACTGTTCGAGCAGAAAAATCAACTCTTTTACCCATCAAGTTACCTCTAATCCGTCCTTCTTTTGCCTTGAGCCTGCTACATATTGATTTGATAGGTCTTCCTGATCTTTGAGTAGCCTGCAAAAGGCATAAACAAATAAATATAAATTACTCAATGCCTAATAAAAAATTTAAAAAACCAATGAAGGTTAAAGGAAGTTAAGTATATATCCATTTTTAAATGCTAAAGTCCTATAATACCCTTGGCAGTCCAGGCAACTCATTATCAAAATATGTTGCTATGTGGAACTGCAATAACTGAGCAAACTCAGAAATAATATGTGCAGGAGATCCGTTTCTCTCCTGTCTCTTAAGATTCTCATTGTGCCTGATGATCATGGCCAACTGATGAGTTAAATCATCCTACAAGAAAGAAAAACCAAAATAATGTCAGCATATAATCTAGATTAAAAGATTTACCCCAAATGATATCAAACAAAATAGACTTGCAAAAATTGTAATAACCAAGAACAAATAAAACACTTGCCTCACTCCTGGAGGATGTGTCCATCATTACAGATGGTCTCACAGGTGGAGGAGGAATCGGAAGAACTTGTAAAATCATCCAGTCAGGACGAGCATACTTAGGATTCAAGCCCAACAACTGACAGTCCTCGTCGCTTATCCTTTTCAGAACACCAAGAACCTTCAACAGATATAATAAATCACCAACCACATCAATTCCTGTAGCAATGAACGTAAAATTACTCATCCTAAAAATTCAGAATTTAGAACAATCACCCTTTCTGCAGAAAGAGTTTGTTTCCTTTCTACAGGTTCAGGAAGCTGTTCTTGGTCATCACTTTTCTTCCTCTGAGCTTTGTACTCAGCAATCATTTTCATCCCCTCAATTGTAATCTTCGGTTGCTGAGCACCACAGCCACCACGACTCTTTTTAACTGGCTCCTCGGTATCTTGCCCAGGAATGTCAATCTCATCTCCCCCTTCGCACTTGCTTTTGTTTTTGCAAGCATCCAGAATCTTTTTCAGCCTGTTCTTGGGATTCCTGATCCTTAAGGCTTGCTTAAACTTGTGATCATTCTGCATAAAAGGCAATAAACTTAAAAAAACATTACATTTCACTCTCCTACACCTACAACATAGAAGATAACCAGAATTCAGATAACAAAACAAACAAGTCAAAATCTAATTGACCACTAATCACAACTGATGGAACTCAGATTCTTCTACTTCCTCATTTCCCACGATGACCTAAACAGCTAATCAAGTCAGTATTATGCAAAGCCCACTTGCAAAAGTACCTCATCAGCTAGAATTTTAGAGCAGTTGAAGCAAACACAACGCATTATAGTTAACACGGTCTTCAAAAATCCAATGTGAAACATTGGCTTGGCAAGCTCCAAGTGACCAAAATGGCCAGGGCACTCAGCCATACTCGCTGTGCAAGTCTCACACTTGAGCTTTCTGTCAATAGTTCCAAGCCGAGGGTCACTCAATCCACCAATCTTCGGCTTCCCTCTCTCCGTGGTCTCACCGTGCTCGATTTGCACCACAGACATTTGCCTCTGAAAAACAAGCACACACAAACTAATCAACAGCCATAAATCGTTTAACAGTACCATAAAACTGGAAAGAAACACTGGAATCATTTTCTAAACATGAAACTTCGAAACAAAGTGAAAAAAAAAAAAAATCAGATAGTAGTAACACGGGAAATTACGATCTCGTCGGGACTGAGTATTCCAAACTGAACCATGCGGACTTTGGCAACCTCCGCCGGAGAGAAAGGGAATCGGATATCCATGGCGGTGACGAAGTTCTAGGGTTTCGGAGGTAACAGAATATTACGAGGGAAAATTCAAATTAACTTTAACAGAAGAAGTAGCTGTCTTGTTTATCCAATTTTCCGGGTTCACTTTCAGTAGTACGCTATTGTTAGAAGAGATCGGCTGCAAAAACCTTCCCTTAGGTTAGAGGATTTCTCCTCACGAACAAGAGCGAAATGTTGCGCCCTAGGGCTCTATTTATAGACGGAGAGTACTCTTATCGTGCGCAGCAATACTACCGTGCACTGCATGCACACTAATGACATCAGTCGCATTTTTATGCGTCTCGAAAGTTTCTTTTGACTATAATACTTAAATGGGTAGAATTCTAAGAATTTAGGAATTTAATTAAGTATTGTTTTTGAAACACAACTTTGTATCAAAAATTGGGTTTCAAGTATAACTTCTTTCATACATTTAGAGATGAAACTTTTAATTTTATTTTGCATTGAAATCATGTTTTAAATATTTTTTAATTTAATTATGTTTACCTGTAAAAAAAAAAAGTTTAAACATGTTTATATTTTTAACATTTTATTTTCCTTCCTTATCCTCGTTCCAACTATCTTTATCTACTTTTAAACTTTCTTTTGTTTCTTAATCCTTTAAACCATAGGTCTAATATCAAATTCAAACTTATTTAAAATATTTGAAGAATCTAAAAGCATGTTCAAATGAAATTTTTAACAAGAGTTCTTTAAAAATAAAATTGAATATTCTATTATAAAATTTTATAATTATTAAGTGGTTTAAAAATTGATTAGAATTATTTATACAGTTAATTTTTTTTTCATTTTTAAATAATTCAGATGTAAAACTCATAATAAAATATTTATTTTTATTTTTAAGTAATTTTTGGTAGCAACTTCTTTTAAAGATAATCTAAATTTGCACTAACATTCTTTTATGAATCCTATAATTATAAATAAAAAATGTATACTTCTAAATATATTTTTATAATAATAATTATGATTTTATTGTTGTTCAAAATGTTATTTAAAAAAAAGTATCATTTCAAACCAGCGGGTTTTTTTATTTTTTTTACAAAGACCCACTGTTAAGTAAAATTTTGTTAACATGTTTATGTTTTTTTTTTATTATATTTTTTCCTTAACATATATTTATGTGTTTCTTTTACTCATATTTGTTGTATTTAACAAAGCTAAACCTGTGTGAGAATAATTTTCTCCCTCTATTATTATTGGGTGGAATTTTCAAAAAATACATATCGATGTCTATCCTAATAAAACTATTCAATTTATCTTTCCTAATAGATATCTAACAAATATATATATATATATATATATATATATATATATATATATATATATATATATATATATATATATGATTGCATAATATCTTGTTAATAACAAATTAAATTTCTTATTTTAAGATATTTTTTTTACTCTTAGAAAATATATTTTTGTACCCATAAATTTAAATTTGATAGTTTTTAAAATTTAGTGTACCTTTATAAATCAAAGATTTCAATTCTCATGTTTTAAATATTTAACAATAAAAAGTTGTTAAACTTGAGTAAGAAAATAAAATTTACATGCTTTAAAATTTCTAAAAATTAATTCGATGATTGATGCTAGGTGGATTTATACTATGAAAATTTTGTGGAAACATTCGTATGTACCATCTCTTGGTGAATTTGTGTAAGAAAAATATTTCAAATTCATTTTCTAGATAAATATCAAATTGAGTTCTGTAACCTTAAAACATCATTATATTAAATGATGATAATAACTTCAAAACCATCTTCACAAAATTCCTTGACCTTAATTTTAAAGTTCCACAATACTTAATTAGGAAATTACAGAACATTGTTGTTGGCATAATTAATAAAATGAATGGTGCTCAAGAAGTTTAAGAAATGAAGTTAATAGTCATGTTTATACAGAATCTCCCTTGGAATGAGATAAATTCTTCTTGCTTATTTTGCTTTCATATAAGTTAAGTTAGGATTACCTATTATCACTACATGAAACATGTTTTCTCATATTTTTTAAAAAAAAAAAGTCGTTGTTGAACAATAAGGATTTTTAGAAAGCAGTGACAATAGTATTCATAATGCTTAATTGAAATATAAATTGTAGAAATGTCTTTAATGGAAAATGTGTATGACTATATGTTTTTTTTAAAGCTAGTTGGGTCAGAAGCATATTGAATGATTATTATTTTCATTATAAAAAATTATACTTCAACAAATACTTTCATAAGTATGAACTGGAATGATTTTTATTATTGTACAAAATTACACTTCAATAAATATTTCATAAGCATGAACGTGACTAATATTTTTTTAAGGGATTTAAATGACTTTCTCATTTAGCATGGTAAATAATTTAAAGATTTTGATTTATCAACACTGACATTGGATGCATATGAAAATACTTTATTTTAAAAATTATACAATAGATAATAATACTCATATCCAAGGATGTAGACAATGTACAAAAAGTGGATAAGGTCCAGTTAATTGCTTTTAATACCATTTTAGATGTTATATATTATAATCAAAGACAATTTTTTAATTACTTGATCATTGTAGAAGAGAGGGTAAAATTACACATTTTCTTTTATAAGATATTTATCAATATAGAAATATGGTTGTCTTGTTCAATAAGTGAAGAATATGATCTTGCACAACTATTAAGAGAAATAATAACAATCATTTATCATGAGACACCCATGATTAACAAATATGTTTTAGAGACATTAAATTGATCATTAGAAAATATTATTAATTGTGATTCTCTGTTATCGAAAAAGTGAAGATATTAGGTAACATTTTTCACTAGGATGGTTCAAAAAGGTATAAACACAAGTTATTTTTATTTGTATTATATTATTACCATAACATGTTAGATTAAAACATAATAATTTTGTAGCATGTCTCATAGAAATTAAAGATGATACTTAACCTGCCATTATTTACGTTGGGGAGAAAACACCCCATTAACTAGTCATATCACGGGAAGGATACAAATCAATACAAAAACTTATAAAAATAAAATTTTCATTTAAAATCTTTTCTTTTATGAGTTACTTGATAGTTATATTGACTTTAAACAATGAATATGTTCAAAACTCAGATGATATACTTATCAAATTATTTTGAAGATAAAGCATAATTATTCGATGAGAGATCGAGTGAGACACACAACTTATACCAAAAGTATTTGTATTATTTTTCACCAAGTTAAATTTCCTTTACATATTTAAAAGATTAAAAAATATACACCATTTTGAAATATTGATTGTAAATTTATGTTATGTAATAGGATAATAATGTTGTATTGTGGATTTTAAATGAACATTAAGACTGCCATATAAGTAAGTAAGTAAATGAATTTTATTGTATAAAAATAGTGCATGACTTGTGGTTCTTAGAAAACAAATTGTTATTTAACTAAATTTTGTAATAATGATAAATAAACCATTACAAATGTTAAAATTTACCTTTTGCAATATGTTATAGTTATGATTAATTAAATGTTATTTTATTAATACGTGTTTGTAAAGTTTTTTTTTTTTAAATGACAACATGAAGAAAATGAAGATTTCACCCCAAATATTTTTGCTATCTCAAATTCAAATATTATATCATTTTTTTCCCTTTAATTTATTTGTTACAAGGATGATATATATATATATATATATATATATATATATATATATATATATATTATCATTACACTTATCGATTATATTAAAGATAATATTAAATATAAGAGATTTTTTCTCACTAGGTTGCGTATGTAATGTTGAGGTTTTTATATTTAGCACATCAATACAAGCCGTATAATTTTACATTAAAATAAATAACCAATATAATATCACTTTTGATGTCAATTTACAACCTTAAATTTACTTCGAACTACAAAATAATTAAGCATTTTTTTTTTCTCTTTAAAGATGTCCCTTCAACTTCTTCACTTGGATTATGCTCTTTGCATAACAATAACATGACAATGAATTCGTTCGATGTAGTTACATAAAATCATAGGTAGTTAAAGGAAAAGAGTCCAATAATAATTTAGGTATAAGTTTAAGTATAAAGGTAGATAGCATAACATAATATATAATTTGTATCCACAAAACTAATTTGTTGTTTAAAAAACAACTAAATAAATTATAGGAAACGAATATCGCATCAGAAAAAGTTCCTCCTAATGAAAAGAAAAAGACAAGTGAAGGGAAATCACATTGAGACTAAGGGCGTCTCACTATAGATATGTTGCTTGAACATATTTTTTATTAAAAAAAATAAAATTTGTTATGATAAGAGTGATTCAGATCCTATAATTTTAATTTCAATAAAAAATATATATATATATATATATATATATATATATATATATAAATATTAACATAAACTATACACAAAACACTTAAATGTTCATTTTAAAAGAAAACGTCCATCATACACACTTCCTCTAAAAAAATCTTTACTCATGAGGAAGGAAAAACAAAAAAAAAAAACAGAAGGAAATTTAAGAGTTTTTTTTACCTTGTACTATTTGAAGTATAATGAAAAATTATTTTAATTTAAAAAATACCACGGTTTTTTTAATAAGATAATTATCCATCCAACAAGAGTTTTTCCACAGGTGATTGTTGAATGAGAATAATAATAATAAAAAAATACATGCTTATTTTCATAAACATGTAATTATTATGCTTATTTATATAATTTAACAATATTTTCATTTTCAGAAGACTAATTTTAAAAGATTATGAACTGTTTGGGAGCACAACCAATCACCCCCATCAATTAAATCAACTAAGAATAAGGCAATTAAATAATTAATATGGATAATTATTTTCACACATGTTGATTATCAACGACATTATTTTATTTGATGGGTTCCACGATATATAAAACTCAAATTTTTAATATAATAAAAAATTATTATATATACATAAATAAATACTATAACATGATATTTCAAAATAAATTAATTATACATATTATAGTGTTTTCTTAATACATTAGGATAAAAAAATACACTTCAAATCAGAACTATCACGTAAACAAAATAATGTAATTTTTTAAGTTATAAATTTAGTTGTTGTTATAATTTTGATAAAGTAGAATGTAATTATCTTTTACTTCTAAAATATGACTTGACTCTATATTTATATTTTCGTACTAAGAAAGAGGTTATTACTGAAAAAAATGATTTTTTTTTAACATATGTATATATATTTTTATTTATAAATTTACTACTTTTGTTTTGTATTTATTTTTATTTTATATAATTAAATTTGTTATTATAACATAATTTTTTTTAGATTTTTAATCAAATTATTTTTATATAATAAACAAAATTACATAAAATAATAAATATATTTTATTATAAATATATATAAATAGAAATATTAAATTTAAAATCATTTAAATAAAATAGTATCTCATCAATAATAATAATAATAATAATAGTAATAATAATAATAAATTCTTATATTTTCGGAAGCAAACACGTGGCGACTTTTCAACAAAACAACCTGCTACAATCTAGACGAAGACGAGGCAGACTCACCCTGTTCATTCTCCGCCACGACGCGTTTTGGACTTTTCACAAATACCTTGTACCTCTACTTCTCGCAACTTTAAAACCCCTCGCCTCACACCATAGCCTTCACACAATTCACACCAACCATGGCCTCTGTCTACACCTGCACGGAGTGCGGCTCCAACCTCAATCTCAACTTCGCCTACGCCTACCCCGCGGACTTCTACTTCGAGGCAGGAAACAAGGGGTCCCTCTCCTTCTCCGCCGTTGACGCCACCAAGTTCAAGTTCGAGAAGGAGGACAAGATCCGCCCCTTCTTCGAAACCCTTAACTACTGGGGAATTCAGAGGAAGAGGACCAAGATCAAGTGCAACACCTGCGACTCTCTCCTTGGCCACATCTACGACGACGGTCCTCCGCTTATCGATACTCCCGGTCAGTTTCATATGGGGCCCAGCCAAGTCATCCCCCGGGCACCAAGATACAGGTTTAAGACCAAAGCCCTCACAATTGTTTCCGCTTAATTGCAAGGCCTCTCATTTATTGTACAATCATTACGGCTTGTAGCTTCTGTAATATTTCACGCTTCTCTTTGAATTTGCGTGTGTGAATTTTTGCTGCTACTGTACGTAATTTACGTTCTTGACTGATACTGTGTTTAGAATCATAATAGAGCACTGGTTTCTAATTGGTTACTGATCAAATGGTAAATTGGATGTGGCAGTTGTTTTAGATCTTTAGAAATAATGGTTATAAGATCAATGAGGGATATGGGTAAGATGAGTGTTTGGTTTGGTAACTAACTAGCAGAAAATGAACAAAACGTGGTTTTCAACCAACATTTTCCTCACGTCTAGGATTATGGGTTTAGAATGTGCCATTGTAGGTGACTTAATAATAGATTTCGGATAAACTATAATAAAACTAGAAACTAGAGAGATTTAAAAGAAGAAAACTGGAAATAAATTTATTTTTTATAGGATAATTACAAAATGGAGAAAACCACTCCTATCGATAATATAGACTTCATAGCATTTCATTTAAGAACCAAGGAGAAAAAAAATTCTAGAGCTTAAGAATCTATCGAGACTGAAACTATTATAATTATACACTCCAACAAACATTTTAATTACCAAAGAATCTTTCTGTTACCAAGTACTGCTTCTCCTAGGTTGAGGGATCCGGAGGTAAAATTCTCTGTTCTGGACGAAAAACATAACAATTCCTTCAAACTTAATAAAGTTTTCTTTGTGTTTTTGTTTGGAGGATATGAACTAAAATTTAAAACTTTTCTGATCCCTGTACTCTTGTAACATTTTTTTTTTATATTTCTTGTCAGATCCCTTCATTTTGATGGTACTCTTAAAATTGTTTGCTCCAATAAATTGGAGGTGTGTAGGACTTATTCACATGTTTTACTAAGATTATATTGACTATGGAAGTTGCATTTCATATTTATCTTTAGAAATTAGAACAATCTGCTGTAGGGTTTTTGTGGTGTTTCTAGCTGAAGGTGTTGACTCTTTGATGTTCACCTTTACGTTCGCCAGTTTTCTGGTAGGAGTACTTCGCAGATTACAGTACTCCATGTACATAAAAGTTGACAAATTAATAATATTATAATAAGAGCATATATCAATACATTTTCCAGAAAACTGAGCCTTCTTGATGTCGTATTGAAGTCAGCTAAGCCTTCAGTGCGGCACTAAAACAGATAAATTCCTTTGGTTTTTATGGTAATCTTTTCCATTGGTTTACGGGCTGCTACAATTGACCTCAAAAATTAAACCAATCCTCTTTAAGTTACCAAAGCTGCTTGGTGGATTGAAGAACATGGTAGGAGTAAAACAGAACGAGTTAAATAGAATGTACATTATATTCAAGAAGTATTTGAAGACTTCTGAAGTTCACAAATTGTATACAACATATTTTAAGAGAAGAAAATGAGCTTCAAGTCCAATATTGGATCAATTTTTCAATTGATTTTTCTTCCTCTTATATAAGTAACCCGATATGGCGGCCACCACAACTGATACTATACCGATTCCTACAAGTCCTTTGTGCTCATTTAGCTTCTCATATGTTCTCTTGGGCTGGTTTAGATTTTTGGGATCGAAGCCCAGCTCAGAGAGTTTCTTATGTGAAATTGCATATTCTTTGAAAAAAATATCCTCGTCCTATTAAAATTGAAAATTAGGACCGAGATATCAATATAATAAAAAGAAAAATTAGCAGCGTTGGCAATCACTGAATAAAACACCATAATTCAGAATTCGAAATCATGTTTTAAATCTGATTATATGAGATTTAAATTTGAACGGGTTGATTTTATCTAAAGAATGTAATACACCTATTGTCCCAGTATCTCAATTGTAACTGCGTTAAATTTCTCTCTATCCTAAAGGGAAAAAAAGTATTTGGTCGTACTCGGCCCAAAAAGAACCCTATGGTCGTTTACCTTTGCATACCGTTCAACATAGTGACGAAAATCTTGATCCTCTACTAAAGCATAGTCCATCGGAAGCATCGTAAAGGATGCACTCTTACTCAATAGTTCCCTGTTTAGTTGATTCAAAAAAAATAGTTGTGTTAAGTGCTGCGGAGAGAGTTCAATTTTATATTTTTTAAACAATTATCATCGTCTAAATAATATCTTACTTAAAATAGGAGTTATCAAACTTCAAAGGGTCCTTTGTCCATTTTCTTTCTTCAAACTTAGAGCGATCTTTATGTGTCTCACCCTTAGGTGTCTCTCCCTTGTCAATTGGAGTTAATAAAAGAAATTAAATTTATCCTCAAAATACTATTAAATATGGACTCTTGGAAATATCATTCAGTTTTTATAGGATAACGAGTATAATATAACTTTCTTACCATGGGTACTTTTGGATACATCGTTCTAATTAATGTGTGGCCTCCACATAGAACTACAATGTCTCTTTCTTCACTTAGTCCCATAAAAGAAAATTTCCTTCTTAAACTCCTTGCATCTGAAATATTTCCATATCAAAGAATTTTCATAATAATAGTGAGTCAAGATTGCAAATCAAATATCATCCATAAAGCAAGTAATGGTTAGAGAGAAAACTATGCCTATTGAATGTTTTAATAGCTATATCCAAATTAGAGATAATCTCCGGGGCAAAACCAAATAATTTTAGCAGACATGTATGGGCAAATTAAACCATTATCATTCATCATCATCTATATATATAACAATAATTTCTATGAAAAAGTTGATGAAATATGAAATGAAGGGCAAAATCTCGTATATGAAATGGCAAACTATAAGTAGTTAGTACGAGAAAACAGAAAATTTAATTATATATAAAAAATAGACAGTAATACATGTATTTTTAATATTTGATAAGATTTATTTAATATCTTTTAATCATTGTTAACAATATATTAATTCAATTGTTATAAGGCAATTACATTTGAAAACATAGACAATATATAAAGGAAGAGAGATTCATAAATGGCATTAGAAAATTAGAGACTTAAAAAATAAATATAATTTATTACCTTCTTCACCATTTAGAAAGAGTCTTTGGACTCCTGGGCACTTATCCGAATCCTAACAAATAAAATAACATATAATATGCAAAAATTAGTATATGTGTATTTTTTCAAAAAAGAAAAAATATTTTATTGAATTTTTCTGTTTACACTAGTTGTAATTTGATTCAATTCTCATTTTTATTATTATTATTATTACGTGTTTAAAATGCATTTCAAGAGTTCTAGAATTAAAGGTCAAGAAACCTCAACGAAACCCCAAAATGTGTTACATATAGTGATTATCATATATATATATATATATATATATATATATATATATATATATATATATATATATATGTATGTATATATATTAACATAGTATGTTTACTATGTTAGTTTTACACACACACATAGGGTATACCCTTCTGCCGGGAACAAAGTCAATAGTTGGACCCTGAGTGACCTCTACTGCAACAACACCAGCAAGCTGAAATGCAAATCCATCCAATAAATACGTTAAAACTTGAGTTGATTAATCTGTCGTAATTAAGTTGTTTAACTATCATAGCATGATAGGATATATAATTAGTTGCGGATTGGAAACTAAATAACCTGGTAAAGGTCCGCGTATGAAACTTTCTTAAGTTTAAGTTTGACCTTCACTATTTCTGTTTGGGAAGGAAACTAACCAATCAAAATAAAAACAAAGAGCTATAACAATAAGCATGCAGAGAATAGTGTCGATTCGAATGCAATTAAGGAAATAAGAAGAAATTAAATTGACCACAGTATTGAACTGCTTTTTCCAATTCCTTGATTGCTTCGTGTTTAGTCATGAATCTAATAGAACCATTGGGACCTCCGCATCTGTTTTTTGCATCGTATGTAGCAGCATCGTTCCACCTGTGCAACATTGATTAATTAATTAATTAATTAAAGTCTTGTTTGGTTTTAAGCTAGATTTTTAAAACCACCTTCATATATTAATTAACACGTACGTGATAAAGTTTTATATAATTTATTTTTGATTGCTCATCCGCAGCTTGAACTTCCACGCTTTGATTGAAGTTCATAGTATTTTTCACGCATTATCTTGAAATATCTAACCATAAATTAGGTTATTTCAAAATCAATATTACTAGGAAACATTTGGTTAATCGGATTACTGAATGATACTTCAATTTAGATCTGAATCCAAACATGCATGTGGAGAGAGAATTAGGAAGAAATGAAAGCATGGAGTTAATAGTGACGTACGCTAGTTGAAGCATGAGCGGGGCGCATTTGTTCTTGGGGATGAAATAACCAAGTTCACGTCGAGCCATTTCTATTTCCTTGAGATATCCATCGTCAACTTCACCCATTATGCATCAAAGTTAGTTTGATGATGCAATGCAAGGTATAAATAAACGAATGAAGGAGAGAGAACACAATGATGCTGAAGCTGATGCTAATTGCAAGTAAAGGATTAATTTCATCGCTTTGTTGCACGCAGAGGAAAAAGAATTGTTTATTCGGAGAAGAAAGGGGAAAGGAATTTGTTGCCGTGCGTTTCCCTTCCTACCCAAGCAGGAAGGAGATTCACTTCAAAGCATGAAACGCGTTTGAGATTTCTACCGGCTTATATTTCATTGATTTTCTTTCCGGTTTAATTTTTTAAAACTATTTTATTTATTGATTGATTAAAAATGCTGCTCGGTGTTTTGTATTTTAAACTGTTCTAAAAATGAAGAAAATCTGTTATTCTAAAACGAGGATACATTTGGATTAGAACGGATCCCAGAGAGTAATATACACACACACACACACACACACATATATATATATATATATATATATATATATATATATATATATATATATATATATAATAAAGTTTATTTAAATTAAAATAAAAGAATATAAAGAGAGAAAAAATGAATAAAAAGTTTTATAATTGATTATTTAAATAAAATAAATATATTAATTGATTAATTTAATGAATTATCATAATATCTTTTGATTAAAATTGAATAAGAATTAAAAATAACATATAAATATGAAGTAATATTTTACAAAAAAATAAATAATATTAAATAATTATTTTAAAATACTAAATAAATTTAAATATTTAATGAAAAATCATGCATAATTTTTATTTTGGATTCAATTGCAAAAAAAAATTAAAATTAAAATTAAAATAGTAATGATATATTTAAAATAAAAGTATAATTTAATCCTATAAACAAATTTAGAAAGTATGCACATATTATATAGTAAAACTTTTAAAACCACTAAACTTTCAATCATACATTTATAAATTCTTAAATAAAAGATTGGCAGCTAAAAAAGTAAATTAAATAATATTAATAAAATATTAAAAAATAAATATTATTTATTTATTATTTGAAATATTTTTTAAATTATTTATTAATATTAGAAAAAAATATAATACAACACAAAACATAAAAATATACTAATAATCAATTATAATTGATTATATGTTGAATTGGGAACTATTCTTTGAGCTATTAAAAAAAGGACATATTACTTTCTCATCTTATGGGATGAGAGTTTTTTAATTTTCATCTTTGCAAATTACCTCAATTAAAGTCATATAAACATATAGTTTATGCGTAAAATAAGTGAAAATTTGTATTTGTAAAAAGGTTAAAAAATTTGTTCTTTATTAAAATTTTGAGGTTTTAATAGTTTTTCTGATTCATTTTGCTTTTTATTTTCCAACGATTCCAACTATTTCGTGATCCTTAAAATTTTATTAGCGAGATTATTTCTTAGTATATATTAGAAATAATTTTAGTAAAATTTACACCATAATTCTTGGATGTTACTAATGACATTTATCATTTCTCTCACACCATAATAGATGGATGGATCAAATCAAATCCATCAATTATAGATTCACCTCTTTGAGAAGTGAGGGTTTGATAATCATAATTATTAAATGTTTGTTAAAGACTTAAAGAAAAAACTAGTTTATGATTGGTCGTGTAAAAAATTTGCGTGTTACCATCAAGTTACGTAAACATACTATATTCATCTTGAAATATAATCATATACCTAATCTTTTTAAATTAATCATAAGTTGTTTTGTCTTTACCGTTCACACAATACTTGTGTTTCAGCCTTTTGATTTGGACGGATCTTCACGGTTGATTTTGAGAAATGAAATAATATATTATTAATAAATAAAAAATAAAATAAAAAATAAAAAAATAAAATTATAAATATATACTTAAATATATAAAATGATCATTAAATTAAAAAAAATAAAATCATAAATTATAAAAGAGTTATATAATTAAAAAAATTAAAAAAATAAAATTATAAATATAAATATATTAAATATTTATTAAATTTAAAAGATGAAAATCATAAATTATACAATAATTTCAAAACTTTCACTAATCACTCTTGAGTTCCCAACAAAATATGCCGTTACCACCGACAAGTGGTCTTATGGATTGGTACAAACCACTTCTCTTTTTGTTTTGTGATATAAGATTGGCACAAACAAACAATTAAGAAGACTGTATAATACTTTATTAACGGATCACTATCACCGATTAAAAAGAATTGGAAGCTTTAATAAATTACATACGTCACGCCTATATTCCGTAAACATCGTTTAGGAGTGGTAATAAATTATTGTTTGATATTTAAGTTATTACATAGAGGACCATTGTTTACATTAAGTCATATGTACGTTTAAATAAGTTCAATTGATTTTATTAATTACTATTGTTTGTAGATAATACTATTTTTTTAATAATATAACATTACAGTAAATTTTGAAACAATATAATAAAAAATGTGTTTATAAATAAATTACTTTACTTAAATTCTTATAGTGTATAAAATAATAAATGATTAATAGTATTGTAATTTAATAAAGTGTTTTTAAATTTTAAAATATTAATATCAGTAATATCAGTATTATACATATAACGCCAATAAATTAATATAATTTTATAGTAGTTTTAATATTTAAACATAACTTTAAAAAATAATTTAATAAAATAAATTAACTTAACAATGGTTAAAAGATGTCTTTGGTTAAGTCAATTATCTTAAATATATGTGTTTAATTCTAAAAGTCACTGAAAATAGTATTTGAATGGAGACTTATATGTGTCACTCTAACACGAACAATTCGTAAATAAATGCTTGGAGCAATTTCATAAATAAATATATACATTGAATTCATTTTTTTCATATAAAATATCCAAAACATTAACGAGAAGGTGTGTTAATGACTTAATTAAATAAGATTATATCTGCATTTAAGTAAACTAAAAATAATAAAACATATTAATATATCTTGAAAGAAAAAAATAAGACAAAACAAGTTATCATCTTATAATAAGAACGAATTATATAATTTAATTTGTATTAAAGAGGAGATTAGGTTGATTTATCATAATTTTAAAATAAATATTTTATTTTTTTAAATTATTTTTTAATAAATTTAATAATAAGATTATCATTATATTATATATTAATAATATGATATAAAAACTTTTTTTTTAATAGGTTGAAAAATTTAAACACTTAATATTTTTTCATTTTCTAAAACTTAATGTTTAAAAAGGCTGTGAATACCTTCAGTCGGTTGCCACATATGCCTAACCTCTCTAACCTAAGTTCATAAACTCTGATTTTTCTTGAATGTACAAATCTTTAAACATTACCATCTTTCTTTTCTTTCACATTTAAAGCTCTAGAGAGAACATGTTTCTTAAGCCAAATAAAAACAATAATGATAAATGAGTTAATAGTAAAAAATATTATAAACTTATAAAATACCTAACATATTGAATATGCTCTGTAAATCACTGGTCACTTATGTTTGTACAGGGACCACCATCATCACATATTGAAGATTTCTGATAGAGACGGGAAACATCGTTCATGTTGGATGAAGAGGAAAATTCTACTATTTTTTTATATTGACATAAATTAAGGTTCTTCATATATCATGAGAAGGAAAAAAAAAGAGGAGTGAAATTGAATGCATGGAGGAGAGAAGGGGGCAAGTAATTATTATATATTCTTAGGAGTTAAGACTGAAGACAGTTAAGTGAGTCCATTTAGAATAAGATAAGGTGCAACCACCATTCCAATTTCTTTTTATCGTTTCTCACTATCCACACGCAACAATAGTGGGGCAGTGCAGTGCATATTGAATATTCTGGCTGACTCAGAAATTCAACCATCAATATACGTCCATAACTATCGGTGTAGGGGGAAGGAAAGGTAGGTTTGATAGTGAGTTAGCTACCTCGTGTAATAAATTGCCATTTCTCTTATCTCAACTCCTTTTTCTGATCATATAACAGATCAAGCTGAGGAACAAAGCTCGCAATTGAATCGGTGTTTGGTGATTGATGATGAAGCAGAGAAAGGAAGAATTAGAACGTGATGCTTATGAATCAATGGCAGAGGTGGTTCCTAGGTCACTAATTCCACCACCTCCACCTCCGCTTCCGAAATTCTCAAGACCTAAAGCAGAAGAGAGTGTCACAAACCGAGAAATCGCTAGGTTTTGGAGGAAAAAGAGGATCGAGGAAGAGGATCATCTCCTTGCTGCTATCAAAGCTGCTGCTAGACTCCGTGCACGCACTCTCACGGTAATTATTAATTATATTTCGCAAAACATACTTTAATTATGAAATCAAGCACGTTCTAATTACAATTGAAACATATTATTAAACGGGATGAAATTTTATCTTTGAAGGAGGAGTTGTGATGTTTAGGTTATATATATATATATATATATATATATATATATATATATATATATATATATATATATATATATATATATATATATAATAACTGATAATATGCGTTTTGAATTGTTATGTATGTGAGATTGTTGTGAATTGTGATTCTTCCTCCTACATAATTTTGTTCTGTAATTAATGGCTTGCAGGAGCAAGAGTATGAGAGGTTCGAGTTGTCCCTGAAGAACGATAATGACTACGATGAAACCAAGAAAGAGGCTCTCCAATGGAACGTAGGGACAAATGATTATTGCAAAACAATGGCCAAGGACCAAGAAGTGCGTGTTGGAATCAAGGATTGGTTAGTAATATATTACTTTTCTAGAAGCAAATACGTGACGTATATTACTAGTAGTTTATAATACACGAAGTATCTAAATAAAATATAAGTTTAAAATTATTTAACGTAGACATATTTTTAGGTGGATTGAATAATTTTTTTATTTTGATTATTGAACAAACATTAAAATATAGATGAGATAAAATGTCAGACAACATTAAAAATCAGACCTTTTACATTGATTAATTTTTTGTGACGATTATCTGAGAACAACCGTTATAGAAAATATAAATATGGTTTATGTACATAAATAAAAATGCACTTATTTTATGTTGGTTATAAGAAAGAACTAATATAAAAAATAACATTTATTATATCAATTTTCATAAAAAACTAAAAATGATATTTGATAAAAGAAATAAACTGATTAATGATTTTTTATAATCAAATAAATTAAATATTACATCTTTATTTTAGTATTCAAATTTTTTCTATTAAAATTAATTAAATAATAGAATATATAATTTTAATAAAAAATTATAAATGTTTTAATATGTTTAATATCAATTGAAGAATTTGAAATTTTTGATTAAAATTATGAAAAAGAAAAACTTGGATTTCACAATCAATCAACATTTATTATGAAAAGTGCTTGAATTAGTCATACGTCAGAGATAATTATTTTTATTATTCCGAAGGATTTTCTTAGCACTCAAATTTGATTAAGTAATTCATAGAAAATCAATTGTTCTACGAGAATTTTTTATTCTACAAGGTTATTACCCCTGCTATTCTAGATAGATGCAGCAAGTTGCACTTTCTATTCACTGGTTGACGGGGAACTGTGGGTTAAGATGACACAAAAGGTACTGAATCATAGTTATGATTGATCAATTTGGTTGAATTTTAGGCATCTTATTATGTAGGTGCGAAATAATTTTATTTTTTAATGTTTTTTCTTCTAATGATATTTTTTTTAATGATCTTACTAGTTAATAATTCAACTTCAATTAGAGTTGGATGAATGTAATGTTGGTATAGGATTTGTAAGATCTGACTGATTGGACAAAAATAGTGTAAACCGGAAATTGAGAGTGGGGCGAATCCTAACAATGAATCTAGACTGTAAGAATTGCTTCACACTTTGGATTTTCATTGGTATGATCCCACAAAACTTCACTAATGTCAATTTTTTTACACACAAACAATTACGAGCATCTAAGGTAAGACCCTCCTAGCTTTAAATAAAGTCGATAACGATATGTATACGATTTACCTTAATTTTAAAATACAACATGGTTTAATTTTATGATAATTAAGCTTTTTATTTTTCCTAATTTTCAATTTATAATAATTTTATTACAGGGATCTTTTTATAATATTTAATGTCGGGAAAATTAAGATAATTTGTTGTGAAACGTGCAGGTGGACAAAAAGCAAATATGCGTATTTGAATCAACCAGCCATAGATTCCATGGATCTTCCAAAGAAACGAAGCTCTACCTATGTTCCCAATTTTCTTTCTTATCAGCCCAAGCCTTTGTATCCTTCTGCTATTGGTGTCTTTTAAGCCACAGGATGCATTAGTTGGTTAATTAGTACTTGTCTGAAACTCCTGGTAGTTCCCACGTCCTTGTTTCATTCGTCATTTTTTTTGTGTGTGTGGGAAGGTTGTCCAATGTTTCATTTGTCATTCAAATGTGTGTCCATGTCCTTTTATGTACTGCTGGACGTTCTAAATAACATGAGTATTTTATAATTTATATACATCATTCTATTATTCCATTTATCACTGATAGAATTCTCAATTAATATTAAAAATCTTCTTACATAATTTACTGCTAGAAAAAGTTTAGTTTTCTACCGATTTACATCTATAGGTAGTTTTTCACTCACAGGAGAAGAGTTTCCCTGTTTGTTTCAGATTATTTAAACGGATTTGGGCAGACTTAAAGTAAAAAATATTTTTTTCAAGATACAAGAAGACAAGAAGAAAAGAAGAGAAACCCAACGTTTTGACGTTTAAGTTGATTTTTTTAACCAAAGAAAAATACCTTTGATTGAATTATCTGTGCCATTTGCCATTTAGTTGATAAACTCGTGGATGTTGAGGTTTTAGAAACAAATAATTGTAAATGTTCATATTCTCAAATTTCGAAAAATATTTCTTTACTAATGAATATCATGATAATAATGTATAATAAATATATAGAATCATACATAAAAGTTTAATAATTAATATTAAAATAATTACAATTTATTATATAAAATATTTTCATAAGAAATTTATAAATAAAATTATTTTCATTTTTATACTTCACTTTCATTTATATAATTTTTTATTATCTTAATATTTGTTTATATTTTTTTAAGGTTAACTTAATTTGTAAATAGATTTTCTTCTATTTTAATATTCAACAGAATTCGGCTGAATAAATTTCAAAACGAATATTTGAATTAGTTGCTCGTATCTAGGTGAAACAAATTCTATTGGTTAAAACGTATAAATTCTATTTGGTAAAACATGGACTTTGAAATAATTTTATTTTATTAGAACCTTTAGAATTCACACCCTATCCTATTTCGCCCGTGATTAAAGAAAAGATGGCTAATATATATCTTTTCGAAACTAAATATAAATAATTATGTGTATTTTATTTACAATAATAATAATAACAATTAATATTATAAATAATAAATAATAAACTATTTTTTAAATATTTTTATATTTGATTAAACATTATATATGAGTTTATTTTTTTTAAGTAAAAATATTTTAATTTATTAAATTACTCCATTTTAATTTTTTTTATTCAATCAAATTAATTGTAATTTTCTTTTTATTTTTCATTTTTTTAATTCAAATAACCTCAAATTTTTATCCTATTTTCTTATCTTTTCTTTCTCTATAAATCCAATTCCAAAAATAATTAACCTTACACGTACTAATTAGGTTCCGTGTGAAGTTTAATATTATTTACAAATTTATCAGTAGTAAATATCACTTTGTATTGCATGTTATAACGGAGTAAATTAAGTTACATGTATGAATTTTAATTAGTTATGGATATAAGAAAATGTTTTATTTTTAAAAAAATAAATGAAAAAGCATATTATTTCAAATCTGATGATCATGTGTGTCCTAATTCGTTCAAACCCATTTCCGTAACTTGTGTTTGTGTTTCTCTTTATTGTTCTTTCCTTAATTATTAATATAAAAAAAATGAAGTGAAAAAAGAAAAGAGAAATATGAGAATAAATATTTCTCTGTCTCATAAAAAACCAATATAAAGAGACTGAATATGTATACTTATTTAAAGTCTAACCGACGAGAGAAAATGCAAAGAACTTAGACGTACATAAAAGAGATGATTGCTCAAAGACACTTTGAAATTTTGAAGAAGGTAAATTAGTAATTGAATTTCACATATAACACTGTATGACATGATTTTGATAGAGAGAAAAAAACTTCTAAAATAATTGCAATAACTTAATTTCCATTTGGTCATTAGACACATAAGATTAATTTGAAGATGCCAATTAAAGTGAGTGTAAGGATGAACTAATGAGGTCAAAAGTACCACTATCAAGTATCCAAAAACTAAAGGAAGAAAGGAAATTATTACCAATGCTTGTTGGAAAGAATAATTGAAACTTGATTTGAAACATTGCCATTAGATTTAGAATGTTATAATAGAGCTAACAATGCTTGACACTGCTGAGGAGTAAAACTAATTTGCTGAAACTGTACTTCTAAGTTTGAACCTTCATCATTCTGCTCACCATCATCGTGAATCTGCATTCCAAAATACTGTATTAACATGACTTTGATCATGGTTCTTATTTTTAAACTTGACATGAGGTGGAAATGTATTAATGATATGTCTTGTCTTACCACGGTGACTACAAACTTTAGAAGTATTTCCTCTTCCATAGGTTCTATTTTTTAACCTCCCTCACAATCATTACTAAAAATTTGGTTATTAAGATGATTCAGTTCACTAGCGGCCTATCCGTGAATTCAGCAGCGAAAGATATAAAATCGGAAAAATTGACTAAATTTTGAATTGAATTAATTTTAATAAAAAATTAAAAATAATTTTTTTAAAGATAATTTTTTTATAAAATATATAATATTATTTAATTTCTTTTTCTTTTAGTATAAATTAGGTTAAGATACGAAGTAAAATATATAATTAAGTTAGAATTAAAAATATATAAAAAAAAATTCAATGAAAGTTTTTTATTTCACATCGAAAACACTTTTTTATTCTTTTTCATATTAAGAATTTTACTGAGAAAAAAAATTGTCTCGTACTAATAAATTCGAGTGACAATAATGGATTCAAATGTACAAGATTTTATAGTATTTAGTAACGATACCCTATTAATTAGTATTTTTAAAAAAATCCATCTTAAACACTAATATAATTATTTTATTATGTTTTCATGTTACTTTCATTATTATTATTATTATTATTTTCTCACTTACAATTTATATTTATCATCTTCATATAACTTATGAATAAAAAATTTCATCATTGTAACTATTTTTCTTTTTTTTTTATATAAAAATAATATTATTAATAATTTTGTTATATATTTATTATATTTAAAAAATATTATATATTAAATCTAGTTAAATTTTAATTATTTTTAATTTAATCTTTAAACTCTAAATTCATGTATTCACTAATTTAATAACCCATCCGATTTTATCAATGATGTAGATGGAGGGAGACAACCTACATATTGGCTCTTGTCATATTGGAAACATTGAGCTAGTACGAGTGAGAGAAAAGAAAGAATATATTTATATTATTGAACTTATTATAAGGTGAGATATTAATATAATAGAGTAAAATCCTCCAAAAATATAAAAAAGAGTGTCAGGTACAGTAATAGAAAAGCAAAATAAAAAATAAAACAGATAAAAACTCATAAAATCTTTAAGAATAAAAAGTTTGTTGAGATATAGGATGATGTGTCAAAAGAGTTGTATGCCACCTAGTCACGCCTAACTGCAATTTAGAAATCAAAAGTGAGGTTTGTTTGATATCCCCGCAAGCTAGGAAATATATATCAATAATACCCCGCTTGAAAATCAGATGACGAAATTTCTTGGGACTGAGTGTCTTGATATATATGTCAGTTAATTGGCATGAAGAAGAAACAGGAAGTAATTTTAATAAATCTTGTTGAGTTTTCTCCCTTACAATATGACAATCAAGCTCAATGTGTTTGGTGTGCTCCTGAAAAATCGGATTAGAGACAATATGCAGGGCAAATTGGTTATCATAATATAAAAGAATTGATTCTCTAAAAGGAACTTTCAAATCTTTCAACAAATAGCTCAACCATTGTATTTCACAAGCCACCGAAGGCATGACTCGATATTCAGCCTCACAAGAGCTCCTAAAAACAATGTTTTATTTATTGGATTTCCATGAAACAAGGGAAGAACCAATGTAGACATTATAACCAGTAATGGACCTCCTTGTTTCAGGACAGGTGGTCAATCACTGTCGCTATAGGCCTTAAGTTGGATAGTAGAGTCAGCTGGAAAAAATAATCCAAGTCCAGGGGCTCCTTTGATGTAACGAAGGACTCTTAAGGTTGCTGCATAATGCATATATGTAGGCTTAGAAAGAAATTGAGCCAAATGATGTACTGAGAAAGTAATATCAGGTCGTGTGTTGGTTAGATATATTAATCTACTATAAGACGCCTATAAGCAATGACACCAGAAAGGACAACTCTTGTATCAAGGGCAAAATGTTTTGTATTATCCATAGGAGTGGAAACAGATTTGCAACCTAAGCATCCAGTTTCAGCCAACAATTCCAATGCATACTTTCTTTTATTAATAGATATTCCTTGTTGATTTCTTGCTACTTCAAAGCCAAAAAAATACCTTAAGTTTCCCAAGTCTTTTATGCGAAAAGAAACATCAAGAGCATGTTTGATTCTTGAAATTTCTTGGTGATTATTCCCAGCTAAGATGATATCATCCACATACACAAGGAGTGTTGTGAAAGAATTGTTTCTAGACTTTATGAACAATGAGTAATCATGCACGGATTGAATGTATCCAGCAGTAAGGAGGAAATAAGAGAGTTTAGAGAACCATTCTCTACTTGCTTGCTTAAGATCATATAAGGCCTTTTGAAGCTTACGTACTTGAGCTGGCAAAACAGAATCAAGGTCCAAGGGAGTTGTCGTGTATACTTCTTTTTTTAGATCTCCATGTAAGAAGGCATGGTTGATGTCTAGCTGTTGTAATTCTCAATTCAGTATTGAAGCAAGGGATAAAATCAATCTCACAGTGGTTATCTTGATCACGGGTGAGAATGTGTGAAGATAATCAAGTCCTTTAACTTGTGTATATCCCTTTGCAACCAATCTGACTTTGTGTCTTTCAATGGCTGCCCTGTACTTAATTTTGAAAATCCACTTGCAACCTATGGGATTCTTCCCTTTTGGCATATCTATGACTGTCCATGGGATTGGTTCATTTTCTTCTGGTGGTTCAGTTGTATTTGAAGGTTATGTTTCTGTATCAGTCAAATG